ATATTTAAAATTTTGGTTGTCATATGCTTATTGTTAGCCTGTCAGAGTTATCTGTAGAAGCACCTTATATAATAGTCTACCCCTTATCTGCAGGAGATATGCTCTAAGATACTCAATGGATGCCTGAAACCTTCTTTTTTTCTTGAGACAGAGCCTCAAGCTGAGCCCCTGGGTAGAGTGCCATGGCTTCACTGCTCACAGCAACCTCCAACTCCTGGGCTCAAGTGAGTCTCCTGCTTCCGCCTCCCAAGTAGCTGGGACCACAGGCGCCCGCCACAATGCCTGGCTATTTTTTGGTTGCAGCCATTATTGTTGTTTGGCAGGCCCGGGCCGGATTTGAACCCACCACCTTAGGTGTATGTGGCTGGCGCCTTAGCCGCTTGAGCCACAGGTGCCGAGCCAGAAACCTTCAATAATTAATTACAAATCTTCTTATACTATGTTTTCTCCTATACACACACACATTAATGCTAAAGTTTAAATTAGTAATTAGTAATATTACAGCTGGGTGCAGTGGCTCACACCTGTAATCCTAGCACTTTGGGAGGCCAAGGCCCGTGAATTATCTGAGTTCACAAGTTCTAGACAACCCTGAGCCAGAACCAGACCTCGTCTCTAAAAATCACTGGGAGTTATGGTGGGCCTCTGTAGTCCCAGCTACTCTGGAGGCTGAGGCAAGAGAATTGCTTGAGCCCAAGGTTTGAGGTTGCTGTGAGCTATGACACCACAGTACTCTATTGAGGGCAACAAAGTGAAACCCTGTCTCAGAAAAAAAAAAAAAATAGACATTAGTAATATTAGCATTAGTGAGTAAAGTAAGAGTTACCTGAACACAAGCACTGCAATACTACAGTTAAAGACATCAGTCCATCTGGTAGCTGAAATGACTAAGTAACTAGCAGATAGATATGCTAGACAAAGGAACGATTCATGTCTCAGAGTAAAAGGCTCAAGACTTCACCATGCTGACTCAGAATAGTACTCAAATTAAAACTCATTAACTGTTTATTTCTCTAATTTTCCATTAATATTTTTTGACCACAGCTGACCTCAGGTAACTAAAACCACAAGTAAAAAAACCCTGAAGGGGCGGCGCCTGTGGCTCAAAAGGGTAGGGTGCAGGCCCCATATGCCAGAGGTGGCTGGTTCATACCCAGCCCTGGCCAAAAAAAAGAAAAGCCAACCTATGTATAAAGGGGCACTACTGTCTCCCAGAATCTTGCTGAAGTCATTTATTTTTCAGGGTTTTTTGGGGTATATTCCTTGGCATTTTCTTTTTTTTTGAGACAGTCACCCCAGGCTAGACATCATACCTCACAGTAACCTCAAATTCTTGGGCTTGAGCAAATCCTTTTGCCTTAGCCTCCTGAGTAGCTGGGACTACAGGCATTGCACCATTATGCCCAGCTATTTTTTTTTCTACTTTTAGTAGAGACAGAGGTCTCACTAGTACTCAGGCCTGTCTCTGAAGTCCTAAGCTCAAGCAATCTACCTGCCTTGGCCTCCCAGTGTGCTAAGATTACAGGCCATGAGCTAGTTACCATGCCTGGCCATCCTAGGAATTTTCTATGTAGAAAATAACGTTGCCTGCATTAAGGTACAGTTTTATTCCATCCTTTCTGATCTATACTTTTATTTATTTATTTTATTTATTTGTAGTTTTTGGCCGGGGCTGGGTTTGAACTTGCCACCTCTGGCATATGGGGCCAGCGCCCTACTCCTTTGAGCCACAGGCACTGCCCTGATCTATACTTTTAATTTCCTTTATTTCACTGGCTAGAATCTTGATAACAATGCTGCAGGCAGTGAACAGATGATATCCGTGATGTGTTCCCAATTTGAAGAGGATTCATCATTAAGTATGATGTTAGCTATAGGCTTTCTTATAAATGTTACCAAGTTGAGGAAGCTCCCCTCAATTTCTAATTTTCTGAGAGTTTTAATCATAAATGGGTAGTAAATATTATTAAATGATTTTTATGCATCAATGGTCATATGATTTTCTTCTTTGGCCTGTTAACATGGCATATAATACTGATAGGCTTTCAAATATTGAATCAGTCTTTACCCCTGGAATAGACCCCACTTGGACATGATATATAATTCTTAAAATATACTGCTGAGTTCTCTCTGCTAATATTTTAGATTTTCACAGCTCTATTTATGAGGGATATTAGTCTGTAGTTTTTTTTTTGTACTGTGTCTAGTTTGTTATATTGGCTTCATAATGGTAATAGTGGCTTTATACAATGAATTGGGAAGTATTTCCTACTCTTCTATTTTCTGGAAGATATTGTATATAGTTAGTGATATGCCGTGTTTGTTTGTTTGTTTTTTCCCCAACTCTTGGGCTTAAGTGATTCTCCTGCCTCCACCTCCTAAGTAGCTGGGACTACTGATGCCCACCACGATGCCCGGCTATTTTTTGGTTGCAGCCGTCATTGTTGTTTGGTGGGCCTGGGCTGGATTTGAACCTACCAGCTCAGGGATATGTGGCTGGTGCCTTAGCCCCTTGAGCCACAGGTGCTGAGCCTATGCTGGGTTTTTTTTTTTTTTTTTCCCACCAATTAAGGAGATACATTGGCTTGGTGCCTGTAGCTTAAGCAGCTAAGATGCCCCAGCCACATACACTAGAGCTGGTAGGTTCGAATACAGCCCAGGCCTGCCAAACAACAATGACAACTACAACCAAAAAATAGCCCAGCATTGTGGTGGGTGCCTGTTGTTCCAGCTACTTGGGAGACTGAAGCAAGAGAATCAATTAAGCCCAGGAGTTGGAGGCTGCTGTGGGCTGTGACTCCACTGCACTCTACCTAGGGTGACAGCTTGAGGCTCTGTCTCAAAAAAAAAAAAAGAGGAGATACATTGTATTAAAGGGCTGTATCTAAAACAATGGACTGAAATAAGATAAAGAGGAAAAAAATGGAAAATGCAACAAAACTGAGAGAAAAGTTAACAGAAATGTAGGTATAAAGACCAAGGCTTTTTATTTTTTTAGAGACAGGGTCTCACTCTACTGTAGCCCATACCGTACAATGGCATAGTAGTCATGGTTTATTGCAACCTCAAAAGATCCTCCCACAGTGCTGGGATTGCAGGTGTGAGTTGCCACAGTAGGCCTAAGATCAAGGCTTAATGTATACCAGTAGTAGAACATGTTTTGATTTTTTTTTTTTTTT